CAACCCAAACCATTCTATGATTCTGTAACTAAGGTGATTTTATAAGCTCTTCTGAAACTGCTTTGAAAGGTCCTTTCATAGCTATGTTTACAAGCTACAAAATGCCTCAGGTGAAAACAAGTAATTATGCAATTGCAACACTTTTCTCTCATTAACTTTTAGGTCACAAATCCATAAAAACCCAAACAGTTTGATACAAAAACACTATCTAGGAATCTGTGAAGAAGTCCAAGCACTTCCACGATAACTATGAGGTCTTTTGGTCAGAAATCTCAGGCCCACTTCAGAAATCATTTATATAGATATAAAATCTGTGTGGATGGTATCCTGTCCCAAAGGGAAATCACATTACAGATAATCAAAGAATCCTGGAAGAGTTATCAAAATCATAAAAATTCAATGCCTTCTTCCCCAGAAATCAAAGTATCTGTCACTCAAAGCATATAATCCTATATGCTTAAAGATTTTTTAAATATTTTTAAATAGTGGCAACTGACAACTCCTCAGGCAACTAAAAACTCTTCCTTATGTTACCTCCAGTGATCTCTTCAGGGCCTGAGCATCAGATGAAAGTTGGTTCATTTCATGCCTGTGTGTGGTATTTGACTGAACAAGCTTCTCTACCTCCTCCATTTGAATCGCAAGCTCTGCCAAGTCATCTTGGATCATCTGCAGAGGAAAAGACAGATTCCATATGGGTAATGTGTTAGATGTGGCATGGACCTCTACTAAACATACACCAAAAGTAGTTTTATTTGATAGTGTGAAGAAAAAAAGAAAAAAAAAGGAAAAATCACTGTAATTAAGAAAAAAATTTTTTTGGATGTCTAGAAGGAAGTGTTTCCGAAAGAAATGGTTGGACGTTCTTACATGTTACCAGTTGGTAACAAAGACAACAAATTGCTGAGAAGTTGCCAGAGAAGACATAGTATAATTAGCTAAGTACTGCAAAGAACTATGGCGATAACATCCCTGTGGTCACCAGGGGTGAAGTGGCACTGTATAGCTGAATCACTGTAGCTCACCATGGCAGAAAGGGTGACATCCCCTCTCTCTTCCCCTCCTGCCCTTCTCTCCCCTCTCCCAGCTGTGTAGTTCCACTGCATCCCTTAAGCAGGCTCTACTGCATGTTGGACCCTTTGCTGAATCAGTTCAAAACACTACTCAAGTGGAAAATGATCATCTTTTTCTGTTGATTATTTTTTTCTTATCTTGGCCAACTGAATTTTAGCCTGTTGAGTAAATCCAGCAAGTGTCAAAGTTGTGACAAGGTAAAGAGCAGGAAGAGGGGGATGCAGAAGGAGGTGGGACAATGGGAACTCCCTGCTTTTGGAGGGAGTTAGATTGGTTCAGGTTATCTTGTACAGTTTCACTGTGGGAAGTGGGAAGTATCAGGACGCATTTTCTTTAGCAATAAAACTAACCCAAGAAGGTATGGCACCAACAGCTTCCAGCTGCTTGTTTCTTCCCTCAAGCCCAGTTTGCCAGTTCATCACCTGCATTGCTTCAGTATCATCTACTCTATGCTATAAACTAGACCAAATGCAATTATCTAACGCACAATCAAGTAAGGGGAAAAGGTACTGAATTCCTAATGCTAATAAAATATGAACAAACAGGACCACAACTAACTGAGGATATCACAATCAAACATTACTGTAATGTACCTGGAGTCTCTGGAGTTGTGTCTTTTTACCCAAGAGGTCAGGCCGCGGTTCCTTCTCTAGATCTAATTTGGCCTTGATGGCAGATAATTTCTTCTGCAAAGGTGCAAAACCAGCATCAAAGTCCTTATGCTGCGATATCAAATTCTACATGGAAAAAGAAGAAGAAGAAAAAAATAATCCAGCATTCAACAAATATCCCTTGGCATTATCTTTTGCCAATGTCCATTTCATACTCAGAACAAACACCAAGCTATACCATGCGACAGACCACAAATTTATTTGAATATTTGATCAACCTAGAAAAAGGGTTTGAGCACAGCTGGTTAGTACTAAATTTCTATCTATAAAACTGGCTTCGTAAAAGATTGATCACTGTTGTTGTCACAGGCAAAGACTGTATTTGGGCTTTTGAAGCTCACCTGGAGTTTGCTCTTGTTTTGCAGCAGACTTTTGTGTAGAATTTCTCTCTCCTTTGAAGCTTCAGCTACTTCTTGCAGGAAAGACTTTGCTTTTTCCTCACCAAGGATATTGTTTAGCAAATCTTTCTTCAGCTGTAAGGTCATCAACTTCTCTTTGAACTGTGAGCTTTCAGCAAGAGCAGCCTAAAGGAGAAAAATTCTTCCAGTGAAATCATACCAAAAAAAAAAAAAAATAAAAATCATATAACCATTTTATCCTCACACAAGTCACACAACCAAAGCAGTATGACAAAGTCAGGTAAAAACAGCATGCTGGGCCGACAAGGGGTAACAGAAGGTACCTGGACAGTGCCCAGTTAAAGGAAAAGTCTTCCTGATAATGTTAGAAGCACCAATGCTGCATCCATTTTGTGAACAGAAATAGAGGAAAGCTGTACTATGGAAAGAGTTGTCTGTGCAGAGGAGAGGCCTAAACAACCAACAGAAAGGACAGCTTGAATGCTCATCCCAAGGATAAACTCCATCCCTGTTTGCAGATACATTTGTTCTGGAGATGACAGGGATGACAAAGTACCAAACACCTTCCTGGGCACATGCAGAAATCATGCATTTTAATCCCACAACTGTATTACTACACACTTCTTAACAGAGTCCACAGACCTCCCATCCAGGGAGATTTGGGCTAATGCTAAACAACATTGTCATCATTGTTAAAGACATCTAGCACTTTAATTCAGCCTATTCAGTTGACAACTCCAGTTAACCAAACAAAGGGCAGAAAATAAGACATTCTGCTATAGCTAGAGTTAAGTATTGACCTCCATACTGCGGGGTTTCCTGCCATACTGGAAAGGCTCTCCCAGCTGCTGCTGTCTGGCAGCTGTATGCAGGCAGCTGCTGGCACAGCCTGGGCAAACACAAACCAACTATCAGTTTCTGAACTTAGTAACAGGTTTGCTACCTCAATGTGAGCCAGCGCTGGCTCTGGAGTCTCCAGCAGCATCTGGACCGATGGCTTCCACTGTTCAAAATCTTGCAGGGGATTTTGCAAGAGTCTTCTCAGTTGGGTTTCTGTATCAGTGCTCATTTTAGATGTCTTGCCTCTAACACTGCAAGGACAAAGTGACAGCCGAGAGAAGGATTATGAAGAAATCCAAGTCCAAACATCCTATTCATCAAGGCATGAATTAACACAATACTCATGTGTAAACTGTATCCAACAGAAAAGCCTCAGTCTTTTTTACTGTCTGAGCCTGGTGTTGCGTACCGACAGCTGCTCAGAGGCATCCAACAAAACTTTATTTAGACGATGTAAGACACATTTGTCTCTTGTGCAACCGTGTATCAGGAATTACTCTGCCCTTCTAGCAGCAAGCAATCTCCCCCTGTATATAATCTTTCTTGGCTGCTATCACCAGCATGATTTAACAAACCATATTATCGCAGCAGTCTCACTGACTGATGGGAGGAACAAACCAAGAGTGTCTAGAATTTAACTGCAGTTGCCTGTATTGTTTTACATATTACCAAGTCTTTGTGCCTTTAAAAAATTACATTAAGAAATCTTTGATTACCCTGTGTTACCTATAAAAAGAGGAAAACACCTATTTTTTTCAGATATAAATGTTTAAAATTTTGCAGGACCACTTGTATTTATATTAATATATGTCGGTGATTCTGATAAAAGCTTTGTATTTATACATATGTATACACATACATGCATAACTATATACGGGTGTATGTATATCTATTGAAAAAAAAATACAATCAGCACACATTCATTAAATATCCAGGCTTCTCTTATAAAAGCTTATCCAAAATACAGCTGAGTAATGAGGCCTAGCAGTGACACACCCCATGCAGCTGCCTCGTTTTTCTCAGCTTTCCTGACCTCTCAATTTGCAGAATCCTATTTGATATGGCAGAATGCAGCCCAAACTAGATGTCCACACAGGAACAGTATCCTGCAAACTCACGAGACAGGCAGGCAAGAACAATGCCAACCAAGATTAATACTGCCTTTCTATAAAAACAGCAACAATAATCTTACCTGTGTCACTGAGACGTTACGGAGCTAAACAAAGGCAAGCCTGCAGAGGCCCAAAGCTCCACAAATAGAAAGTTCTGACATTACGTGTCCTTTGCCATTTGCTCTGCTGCCCCTGCCAGGCTCAGCGTGAAGCTGCCAGACTTCGCAAAACAGCTTTGGGGAGAAGCTGGCAAAAGAGCAGCTGCCATTTTCTACTCAGAGGCAAGTCCCCTGCTCTCTGCTTCTCTTTCAACATCGTTTACTTGTTAGTTTTTAAACTGAAATCCTTTCCCATAATGACCTGTAACCCTTCCAGCAAGACAGCATACTGTGCACTGGACAGAGGAAAATAAGCTTGGATACAGTAAAAAACTGACCTTTTGTTTTCCTTAAAAAAAAAAAGATCCTTTCTTCTAGTTTGCAAAATTTGCTGCAGCTTCTTTACTTCCTGATTCCAGGCAGCCTGGAAACGGAAATACTGAAGTCTGGGGAGAGGCTAAACTTTCAGAGTTTCCAACCCAAGGCAAGTTGGAAACAGGAATTATGCATACATGCCGCCAGGAGAAGGGGAATAAACTCTGCCAAATAATTGCTAAGGCTGATGAGTCATCACAACAAACTCAACAAGGGAGGGCCATAATTCTTCTTAATTCTTCTGAACCATTTACTACTACAGCTCCTGTCCTGATTTTCTTGTTGCTGTCACAAAAGGCAAACAAAATACATAAATTACTATTATAAAATGCTAAGAAGATCAAATTAGCTGCCAACAATCTAATTTTCTTCAAACCATACACAACATTAATGATGCATGATCATTGCTTGAAAATGGCGAGCAGCCTGCAGCTCCTAGCAAATGGCTAAAATTACAGGTTTAGTGAAATGTGGAGGCCCATGTAGTTAGCAAAAGCCTTTCTTTTCTACCTGTCACCTACCATCGGATAGCATATCACTTTTTTCTTAGGCCCTTGTCAATCCCTTCAATGTCTGAGAGAAGATTCCCCCCATTCTCCTCCACATAATCAGACTCCCCACTACCTTTGATACTGCTGTATTGCAGAGACGACACTCTCAGCATGGGGCTGCACATCTTGGGAAAACCGTAGGAGTTCCTTAAGCTGAGCCTTCAGCCTTTCAACCTTGGACTCTTCTGCAGCCAGAACTGCTCTCGTTGCCTTAATCATAAAAATAATGAACAGATCACACTTCATGTAGTGTCTGGCACGTGAAATGAAAAGATAAGGCATTCTGTCTGTAAAGGCATTCACAAGTCCTCTTTCTGCTGCCTTCTTTCCTGTTGTAATGAATATGGACTTTACTAACGCAGAAAACATTCCCAGGAGCAGTTTTGTTCCTGCAGGCTCTCTCTTCCCTCCTCACACTGCCTACCTAGACTCTGCATCTCATCTGCAGGGTTCACTGTTTGAACAGAGTGAATCACAAACAGGCCCAGTTTCAGTTCACTGATTGCAGGATATAACATGAGATGCATTTTTGGAGTAGTCTTAACCATGTCTGTTTGCATGAACAGATCTTTCTCAAACACTTATATATACAGAATGTTAATTCTAGGGTGACAGAGGGAGACAAAACCAACAAAAAACCATGCAAATGTAGCTGGATTGAACCAGTCTATTCTGTGGATCCTTTTTGCATATGTTTTTCCCAGCTAGTTCTGCTGAGTTCTAGACATACAAATAGAAATGAAAGGTATTTTGAGAAGAGATAATAAAGGCGAAACCAACCCTCAAGAGGAAACGAGTGGTAAAGATTCTTATCTACTTTATGTGTGACAAACCTTTTGCACTCATTTATGCAACAGATTGATTTTGGTGTAAATCCTGGATTGCTACAAACTTGGGACTTCTTAGGAATTAAGACATGTCTGATGGTAAAGGAAGACAGGTACCCACCTTCCACAGATGAAGGATATAATATAACAATGGTCTTACCAAATATACTAGAAATATGTGTATTTGTGTGTGTATGTGTATGTACGTGTATATACAGTGAGGCATTATTTTTCCTGCTTCTTTTTAAGTAGAACAAATTGGGTTGTTTGCTCTGTGTTGTGCATATGGTCCCTTTGAACTCAAGACAAACTCCAACACATCCTGCCACCCTGCTCCCTCTGTGCAGAGTGAGCTAAACGTGGGAATAGTTGATTCCATTGTTGCTATTCACATTTTCATCAGTGTATTTTATACACACTTATACTCTTTCCTTACCACCTTTAACCACTGGGACAGGCATCTGTTGGATGTGACTATGCACGTTCAATCTCTGACTGCTGGTTTTAGGCATAAAAGGGTAGCAACTCACATTGTATTTTCTCCACAGAGTTACAAACTCATCTTCAGTCTTTTCCCCTTCCCCAGGGTCCAGGTCATTTTCTAGTCTCTGTAGATCTTTTTTCAGCTCCTGGACATCTGCTTCTAATTGTCTGGCTTGGGACTCATAGGCACTTTCTGTCTGTTGGATCTTGAGCAATCTCTCCTCCTCCTCACCACTCAGCAGTTTCAACTTCTCCAAGGCTTTCCTTAGCTCTTCGAGTTCATCCTTCATTCTCTCAGCTCCAAGTGGGGAGGTATTCTGAATCACCTCTGCACACTCATTTTCAAGGTGCTTCCATTTTTTTCGTCCGCTCCTAATGTTTTTGGCAATTTCCTGCAGAAAGAAGTTAAATAGATTAGCTGCAGGAATGGGAAGTTGGGGAAAAAAGTGAAAGCAGTAGGAAAATAAGACCACCTCTCCTGGTTGTACTTATTTTCTTCTTCACTTCTCATTTCAAAGTATGTCTTTTTTCAAGTGACCAGAAGCCAGGGTTGGCCATTTGAGTGCTTTCTGAGTAATACTAACTGCCACAATTCTGAAAATACCGGCTTGATTTTCAGAAATGCTTGCCACTGAGGTTCCTGGCAAAGAAAACAGGAGCTGCGGGCAGTAAGAAATACTAATAATCAGATCTCTGTGATATTTAAAGCTGAACAGTTTAAGCAGTGGCACAAAAATATTGGATACTATTCTCAAAACTAGTATTTTTATCACCAGCTCTAAACTCTCAAAACCTATGAGTCTTCAGGCTCTATTTGGATCATGTTTACCAAATATCACTCATTTAAACAAGTTTAAAAGGCAAGATTCTCAAAGAATCATATAACCATAGGAGATGAGGCTTTAACAAAAACAAAACAGACTGGCCCATGACTCATGCTACAGTTGGGAGAACGATACGGACTAACAGTTTTAGGACCTGATCCAACTCTTCACCGCTAGCCCATGTTACAATCACCACCTTATTTTGTTTGTGTAATTCTTTTCTCAAGTACGCCCTTGTGTGGTTTGAGAAGCATATATAGGCATGGAGAAAAAACAATCCTGGCTCCTTGTCAGAATTATATCGTTTAAGGACCTTCAGTGCCTTTAACTTGTCCTCTGCCGAAGACTTGGTTGGTTCTCCAAGGCAGCAGTTTAATCTTTCTGTCACACCATTCAGCCACGATTGAAACTGGTCGACGTTAGCGCTGTACTGCTCGTGCTCCTTGGTTATCTTTTCAAGCAGTTTCACTCTGCTCTGTAACAAGAGACATCTGTAAGGATAGTGATTATCTAGGTTTTTTTCCTTCACACTAACCCAGAATTTATCAACAAGAGTCCCTTTCCGCGAGCCCTGGTAGCATTTGGCCTCGACAGGAATTCACAGTTCACCTCAAAAAACACGACACAAAAGGACATAAAGGCTTGTCCCCATCTGGGTCAATGGCTAGTCTCCAAGGAGGTGAACTGCAAGGTCCTCTCAGCTGAATTTCTAGTCTCCCCTTTCCAAAACTTCCTATTCTCTCATTAGAAAAAGAGACAGAAGACTGTTTCTGGTTTCAAAGTTATGTTCCTCACGCTGGTTAAAAGTGAAGTTTGAATTTGCCTATCTGTCAAAATGAGAGTAAGACAGAGCGTGCTAGGGGCATGCAAATAGTTTCCAAGTGTTCATTATTTACATGGGCTGTACAGAAAGTGACTGTCAACTTCAAGGTATCCCTAGAAATCATGTAGCCCGGGAACTTTCATACTTATTTGATCTGCAGATCACAAACCATCCTCTGGTGGTATTGTAGACTCTGGAAGCAAAGTTAAGCCTATGGGAAGCAGGCTTTATATTCTGAGTTACTGTGTGTGTGCACCCATAACCAACAAGCCCAGAACTTAGAGGGGCCTGCGCATCACCCCGCTGATCCAGTCTGGCACCCCCTCAACAAGGGAGAGACACATTTGCTGCAACTATCCTTGTTTGCCAGCTGAACCTTAGGCCTTGCTGAAGGAAATTTTACACAAATCACAAGGAGTCTTGTTTTTGTTGTTTCACCAATATAATATCCAAACTAAATATTAGTTCCTACAAAATCAGACTGATATTTTTCTCACTCTTCACCGGTTGGCCTGGAGAGCAATTGAGGTACACTAGAGTTACATCAGAAAAAAAATGTTCCTTGTGCAATGAATTTAGTGCTTGCAGCAGCCTTGAAAGGCTTTGCTGTCACAGACAAGGGGCTGAGGTTCATTTGGCGTAATGTGGGACACATCCTGTGCCTCTGAGCAGAGCTTGATCCCAGCTGCCCTCCACAGAGAGCAGAGTGATGGCTGCAATGGTGGGCAGAGCTCCAGAGTCCCTTCTGCATTTCCCTTGTCTCTGTGACAAGGCTCTGGGCATGTCCCTACACCCACCAACCTGCCTGAGGTGGCAGTGAGCCACAGCTGTCCTGTCAGTCTTTCTCCAGCCAGGCCAGCAGAAGGATGGCATGAGCATCAGTCACCATGGGATCTCCCATGTGATGTGGGGCAGTGGTCCCTCTGGGCCTTTGCCCTTCACCTCTGGGACAGGTTATGCCCATGGTGCAATAGAAAGCCACCACTCTCCAGGTGGCACCGCACTAGTCTGTGTTTTCTACACTGCCATTGTAATCTCTGCTGATTTATGCAAATCCAGATTGACTCCCCTAAAGTTAGTTGACTTGCTTTGGGTCAAAAGAAGTCCAGCTAAGGGACAGCTGGGCCTGGTACTGCTTCCCATGGAGGCTGAAATGCTGCCCACTAGCGCAGGACCTTTAATAGCACCATCTATGCAAACATGGGTTTGGATGAGACCAAAAAGCAGAATTATGACTGCACACTTCTGTGGCCAAGATGTATGCAGCAGAACACCTCACCTGTTTGCTAAATCCCCTTGCTTTGATTCTCAAATCCACATAAGTTAAACAATTCCCATCTTGACCTCAAGTTAGGGATTTGAGGAATGCAATCTTATAGTGGTGTAAATGGGCCAAACATCGAAGTGAAACAAGTCAGCCCAAGCTTATCGATTCCAGAGAATTAGGCTAATTTGTTGCAGTGACAGAAGCTCCGAAGGGAGCAAGTCAGAATAACAAAGCAGAGCTATTATTAAACTCAAAAGTCTTATGCTAATATATACAGAGTTAAAAAGGAAGTCAGAATGACCCACCCCTAGCCAGGCTATTCAGCCAAAACAAAGGAGGGCACAGTTTGGATACTCCTGCTGGTCTATGAGGTCAAGGAAGAGATGCCATGGATTTGGACAGACTGTGCTAGCTGCCAAACAAAAGGTTTACAAAGAGCTGGCTGGGCCCCCCCACCCCAAGAGGTTAGGCAGGGAAACTTTCTAATAATGGAAAATATGGCATCACTTGCTTCTGTTAGGTTAGCTGTTTGGGGAGCAGGACAGTGTTAAACTCCATCTCCACGTGCACTTGGCTAATGTGAGGAGACAGTAAGCAAGGACATGGCTCTGGAAAGGGTGAAAGCACCAACAGGAAAAGAATGGGTTTGCGATGGGCTGCAGAGGACAAGATGTGTCTGGGCAGGACATGCCCAGCCCTGGGTACTCACGAAGGGTGGACGGAGGCATAGGAAATCCTCTCCCCTAAGCTCCCCTTACAGTCAGCAAAGGAAAATGAGCAATCTGGAAGGCAATCTAGGGCATATGAAGAAGTTCCTGCTTTAAATCCCTCTGTGGCATCTCAGGCATAGTACAGAAAGCTCCTGTAGCCCTTCCTGGTGCATTTAGTCTTAGCTCTAGGGTATGTGAGCGTTGAGATTATAAATATCTAGGTTTCAGTTAACAGAGACAACATAGACTGAAATTCATTTGATGTGCTCAGACGTATTTGATATGTTTGCCTGAATATCACACTGTATATCATAACTTTTCTTACCATATTCAGTCATCATTTATACTAAAACTCACAACAATCTATCTCTGCATATTGTTATTTTGCTAGGCAAGGGAAAGCACGTAGGAAACGGCTGCCACATCTAAAAATATCCCTGTCAATGTAATTGAAAGAAAATTATGTTCCTTTAAAATTTGGGAATGATGAGGACACATGTTAGCACTAAGAAAGGGAAAAACCCCACCATTTGCTCATACCAGAGACTCAATGTCACAGGCAAACCATTTAAGAAACACTGTCCAAGAGTTTGCCTTCTGATAGAGCTGGACAACTGCACGGGATCTAAAAATGCTCTTCAAACACAAGTGTAATCTACAAACACCAGCGAGCCTCCTCTAGCAGGCAGCTCAGGCATTCAGCTGGCATCTGCCAGGCACATTTAGCCTGGCCTATCATCATGAGAGGGGCTGGAGCAATCCCCTTACAGCTCCTGCGTCTCTTTCATTCATCCCTCCCTCCCCTTGGAAGAGGTAGCAAGGTTTCTCTAACTAGTGTTATACTTCCCGGCATGATTCCCAAGGTGCCTGTAACCTTGGCATTAGCTAATGAACTCTGCATTTACTTCAGCGGCAAAATCCAAGGCTTCTCAAGTCCCTTCTTTGTTCCACACCTCCTGAAAGAGGGATTTCTTAGCTGGATTCTCTCACTCCATCCTTCTATGAAATGTGGTATTTGTAACCAATGCCAAAGAAAAGCTTTTTCTGGTGTCTCAGTTGGCTGGAGACATAAAGACATATTTTGCCTAAGTACTATGAGCCACTTCCTGATCTCATTTACACCAGCATGTAGCCAAGTCAGAGAAGTTACGCTATGTAAAACCAGTCTCAGAGAGGTCACATTCTGGCTTTGGGTATTCAAATGACTTGTTTGAAAGAACTGCCTTATAAAAATAGCTAAGGGCTGTCTCCTGCTTCAAAACCAAAGACAAATATTGGTTAGAAGCGAGTGAATGAGAATTTTAAATGGCAATCTAGATAGGCAACATCTGAATTTCCAGGAACCTTCTTATTCATAAATCCAGCTGCCCTGTAATGAACAGATCTACCTTTAAAAATGAATAATCAACATTGAGGCGCAAGTCTGTTGGTGACTTTACGGCCTCTCCGTGGCAGCTGAAGTTACAGAATTTCCAAATATGCTCTAGTTTTAGGAGAGGCTTATTAGCAGCAGTTTTATCTTAATGGCTAAAAAATATCTGAATTTCATGCTCATGAAAGGTGCCAGCTCGGGGTTTTTTGGTTGGTTTGGGGTACATTTTTTTTAAACAGAAAAAGTATCTGTAGAACAAACACAGCAATGGCATGAGCATCCCAACGTTGTTTTTCCAGTGTGATTTGAAGTTAACTTTGTACGACAGCACCCAGGGAGGGAGAGCTTCCATCACTCTCAGGCTTCAGTTCTGGGCTGGGGCGTAGGTGTGGGAACAAATAGAAGGCAGCATTATGACACAGGCAGACAGCAGAGCTAATGTAATGAAAATTATTTGTATTCCCACCAGGTAATTCCTGCCTATGGAGTTCCTGGAAGCCACTAGGTGACAAAGACTAGATTTTAATCTCTATATGCTTGGGATAGATGTGTCTATGTGTATTTCAAATATCCCTTTGAATATTTCTATTGATATAGGCTGTAAGAAACTGAATTCTTCTGCCCAACTGCAGATGTCTTCACCTGAGTTTTAGAAGTGAAAAGTATAAGCATTATCTGAAGTCTTTACCCAGGAATAGAGTCAAAGGAAATCACCGGCACTGGAAGATGAACTAGGATGTCTTACACCAGCCTATCTAACAACTGTTCAAATTGGAAGATTAGCATCAGGCAAGGATTAGTGCAGTGAAAATTTTTCAGATACTGGAACTGGCTAATAGGGTTCAGCGTTGGGCTGCAGCTGACTTCCACCTCCGTGTTTCCCAGTTCTGCAGGCAGGGAGTGTAGCTTTGGATTTGAACCAATGTCACATCCTCCAACAAGGGTGCATGCATGTAATATTCCCTGGCTCTGGGAACGGGTACTTTGCCTCTGGTTATACAAGGATCACTAACGCAGTGAAAGATGAAGAACAATTCAAACTTTATATAGAGATCACCTAAACCAACATTCACTAGATCATAGCAAGAAGCTCTGTTATTTACAACAACATACTATAAAGCACAGTGTAAGAGCATCCCAATTAACAGCTTATCTTGGGACATGATGATTGTTGCAAACAGCGCACTGACTGAAAGAACAGGGGTCCTCAGCTCTGTTTCTTTTTGCAGCCCTACCAGGTAAGCCCCATCACTCAAGTAGCAGATAACAAACAGTACTGTATATTGGTGAAATCTGAACACCTCCCACTCTTTGTAGGTGTACCTGAGCTTCTTCCCTGATTCCTTCATATTCCACCCTCATTTTCTTCTGAACATCCTCATCAACGCTGGGGTCACCTATCCTGCTGAGCTTCCTCTAGCAGCCTTTCCAGCAGGACTGACTGATTTAAGACATCGTTCAGCAGAACCTGAGCATGGCTCAGCTGCCACTGCTTCTCCTTTAAGCCAAGCTGCAACTCAATGTCAGGCTCCAAGGTCACCCTCATGTTGTGAATCCATGCATAAAACTCATCTTGGGCTTTCAGGTACTCACTCCAGTGCAGCCAGACCCACTCAATACGGCTGTTGAGAAGAACAAAAGAGATGAGTTAGATGAAATTATGATGGGAGCAGTGGAGACTGGCAAGCTCAAAAGGCCTTCAAAGCAAAGGACAAGGTTCTCAGCAATTTTAAGTTGTTCTGATTTCAGAAGGTCAGGATTCATTTTGCAAGTTGTCCCTGCTCAGGGAGGAAATATTCTGTAAAAGGTCGCTGTGCCTGGCAGAACTCATCGTTCAAGACCATGAGATGGGCCAGCTGTGAAGGAAGAGAGCACAGAGGTCCCACCAACCCTCTCCCCCTGCACAGTCTCCCACATGCTCATGGGATGGGATTAACAGTGATTGCCATCTACAATCCAAACAGCAGAGAAAGGCAGGAAGCACTTTATGAAAGCACTGGCTGAGACAACTGCCTGAACACACCATACAGCAGTCAGTCTGTCTTACCTGTGACAGTGAGTAATGTATATGGCTGTCTCTTCCCACAAGGCTTTAATGTCTTTCAGTTTAGATAGCACTTCATGCTTCTTATCCTCACTGATGCTGCGAAGAGCAGCATCTGCCTTCACAAGAATCAAGTCCATTTTTAAGCTGCCTTCTGGTTCCAGCGCACGTATTTTCTACGAGAAAAACAAATGAGATGATAGATAGATTGAAAGCATGAGGAGAAAGCAAGCGTAGTTGTTGCCAATTAAGCTTTGTTTTTACCCAGGAATCATGAAGTCCCTGCTGCAAAGCTTCTTCTCAACAGAAAATATGAACTTGTCTTCAGATTTGTTTATTCTTAAACATCCTAAAGGACTGAATTGAATTGAAAACCATGTAGCAATTGAAAAACATTTTAAGTTAGCTACAAAACCCAGATTATCTTCTAGCCAATACCTGCGGCTGTGTTTCCATTGCAGTTATAAAGTTATAGCACTATGTTGCCACATGCCGGTTGTTCTCCCCACCTGCCAAAAAGTGTAGAGACAATTTCCACAGGGTACAGTGCAGTGTCTCAATTTTAAGCTCTACTATAAGAAATCATGAAGCATATTAAAAAGTCTTCCTATTGCAAATAAAAGTTGGCTCAGAACACAAGCCAAGAGAAATTAACTAGTGGAATTTTCTGCCTGCTACCAACTTTTGCTTTGACTCTAAATTGCTAAGCTACGAATTGGTGAAAATGTGTTGTGAATGCCAGGAACTGAAAGTTAAGCCATCTAATTTGAAGTAGATTCTCTTCTACCCAGAGATGGAAAATCAGCACAACTTCTGTAAAATGTAACAGATTAATTATGTCCTGATTTGGATGACAGCTATCAGCATCACTTTATCCAAATTTCTGACACCATCAGATTGGCTTTTCTTGCTGTTCTTCCACAAACTCCTGGCAAACTGCAGGCTCTCAAGTTTGAAGGGAAAGGCTTCTATAATGAAAACAATGAGAGGTTCAAAATCAGCAACTACTTTTGGAAAGATTAGGCCCATAGGATTTTTAAAAAAAATCCTTTTTTTAAAATCATGTAAGTAACTGCAAAGGTGAGACCAAATCACAGGCCTTTGGATTTCCAGTCTCACATTCTGGGAAAAGACTGTTCTTTTGGCATGTACACAGCACATCTGCATGTGATGTATAAACAGCTGTTTGAACAAACTATCTACTATGAAAAGTGTGATAAAAGAATCCAGGCAAGCAGGGCGAAGTGTAAGGCAGAGAAAGAAAATAAAAGCCATAGCTATCACCTGACAGGAAAATTTAAGAGTAAAGCTGTATTCTAAGCCTGACATTTTTCCAGCAACTGAAAGTCAGCAACAGCCAGAGAGAAAGCAGTGGCAGACATTTTTCTTTTTCAAATCTGTGTTTTAAATGATTGCTATCTTTGGCTGGCATTTTCATTAACAAATTAACAGAAAATAAACCACAGGAAGGAAGCGTTAAAAAAAAAAAAAAAAAAGGCAAGCCAGATGCAAAAAAGGAAGTGAAAAATGATCACTGGATTTGAAAACAGCCAATGGGTGGAGCGGTGAGCACATCACAAGGACACGTGAGCTGGACAGGGAAGCCAGGCCCAGAAATGAGGCAGGATGAGGGAGCAGGAGGTGGATAAGGTACACACAGGAAGAGAGAATAGACACCTGTTATTCTTCAGAGCGATGAATTTCCAAAGCCTGAATTGAAAAAAATCTTCTAACATGATTTTTTGCATGTTACAGACCTCCTCCAAAGCTCACAGAAGTCAAAAGGCTTCAGTTCAGGCCATAGTAAATCACCACAAACCTCTAAACCTTACCTCTTGTTATCTCAGCCATGAATGCACCCTCTGTGCCAAACTACCACTCTCCCTACTCAAGTTCCTGTGTTTCTTGCATGTTTTTTGAGACTGTACATATCATAGTTTCCCAGACAAAAGGAAAGGGTGAAAATAATTTAAGGGCAGTAATAAATCTATAGACTAAGAGGAAACACTTCAGATTTTCATGACTGATGCAAGTCTACCCATCATCCATCACTCCATGAACAGTCTCTGCATTATGCCAGGGGCAAGATTCAGCCTCCAATGAGCCAGAGTTAAGGAAAAAGGCTGAAGACATTGCTGTACCATCATTTTAACTACCTTGTACTCCATGTAAGCCTGCAATGTTTTTTTGCAGTTGTTAAACTTCCAAAGAGGCAGTCCAAACATGAGTAGACACACAAAAAGAAAGACTTTTGGGTAAATAACGATGGGAAAGATTCGGCCACTTCATTTAAAGAACAGACTAGTTGGAATTAAATGTAATACAAGTATAAAAATAGTTTCAATGTTAATCATAGAAATACCACCACACCCTCTAATCATGAATGGTAGAGATGGGACAAACAGGAGTGTTTCATTCTCTGAGATTACAAGGACAAGATAACATCTAATGAAACTGATGTTAATGAATGTGAAATCACAGTAAGAGGGCAGGCACAATCTGTAACGGGATCTCTGTGAGAAGAATTATACAATAGAATAAGTAAGACCAGAAAAAAATAAAAACATTTACCTTTTCATTAGACAGATTATAAAGGGGAGCTGTAAATCCTCTTATCATCAGGGTTTACGGAAAAGGACAAGGGGTTTACTCTAGAACAGCCCATTACTAGGACACTGCAATCTTTATCAGTGCCAGAATCCTGGATAAGATGGAACACTAATGTGATCTGATTCTCTCATACTATACGGACTTTCTCCAAATCACTATCCGGTAATTGCAAGCTCAATTGTTTCAGGTTTCAGCACGCTTATAGGAGAGTGTAAACATTTTAACCTGCCAAACCTGCTGCTAGTCTTCCAAATCAATCTGAAAAGCTTGGAAGCCTGTGATATCAAATTGCCATCCTCTTTTTCTACAATGTCTGTAAACACTTTGCAGATGGAAAAAATTAGAAAGAATACTGAAGTAAACCCATCCATACAGGAATAATATTCTAGCAAGCAAGGGCAGCTGACAGTTTCCTGATGGAAAACTCCAGAGCTCACAGCAATAACTGCTGTAACAACAGCAGTGACAGCCACCTCTGAAACACTACATCACTCTTCCCTTACCTCAGTCTCTCTCAGTCTGGCTTCTAGGGCAGATCGAGGTCCCTTGGTGTTGTCATTGATCCTCAGTCTCTCTTGGATGGCCTTCATCCAAGCTTCTGCATTCTCCACACTACTGTCAAATTCATCCTGTAGCTGCTGAGTCATTGCATTCGAAAAAGCTGAAAGGACAACAAACAGAGAAGTAAGCAGGTTTTCGTTAAGACCTAAACAGGAATGCATTCAGGCAATCTAAAGGAACAAGGGAGAAAAGCTAATGATGTTGTGGCTTTCCTTGTTAATGATAATACCAAAAAATGTAGCAGTATCGTGATCCAGTCGAGCACAGAGAACACATTCACGCTGCAGCTTTCCCAAATGAAAATATACCAGGAAACAAAAAGAAGGTGGGGAACTGTGGGAGGCTCCATTACAGTAAACAGATTTAATTCAAAGCTTTCAAATTAGATTAATCTGGTGTTTGTGGTGTATTCCAGATTGGCTACACCAATCACAAACACTTTCTGTGTCTTCCCAGAGCCTGGGCAGTACACAACTCTCCCTATGCCCTTCAGCACACGCTTAACTTAGAGGTATCTAAACCCTTCAAAGCTGGTGAGATCACAATCAGATGCTTAGGCCCTCAGTTGACTTGTTCTGCTGGGACCACGGAGAAGTGATCTGAAGGCACGTGCAGCAAGTCTGGGATATACAGACACAACAGGAATTGGTCAGCAACTGCCAAGACAAACAACTCACAAGCCATCTCATGGGAATATCAACACTTACGGATTTCTTCTTTTGCCACCTCTTTTATTCCATACTAGGCTCTGAGCTTTTCATTTTCCCCTCCCTCTCTCTTGTTGCCCCTTCCCAACCAGCAGGCGGGTCTGATGGATGCTTGCTCTGTTGACGTCCTCTTGTGTCTTCTCTGTTTAGAACACAAGCTCTCTGCTGCCCAGATGGCCTCCTTTTGTGATGGTACAATACAGGAGAGCCATCCTGCTCTCGTCCTTTGGCACTGCTGTACTGAACGTGACTAATAAGGATGAATCATAACCAAGGCCCCTGTGGGTCAGCTCCACTGAAGTGAACAGAAAGATAGCCATTGACATTAAATGGTTTTGGATCACATCCTACAGCTACTGCCAGCCAAGCAGTCAGTGTCTCCTGTAAATTAAAATATGCTTCCCCTTTGTTATTCATCACTGAAATATTTTTGCAGCACAAAGTTTGAGGCTTAATTACTGAACTCAAATTTGTCATGCAGAATTCAGTTTCACAGCAGCCCCCTCAGTTTCCATGAGCCGATTTGTGTGGAAGGAAGTGCTCGGTGCGAGAGGCAGAGCACGGCTCTTGGAGAAGCTGGACCAGTGGTTAACTCTTGGCAGCTTAATCTTTACAAGGTAGAGCCGGCCCACTTCTGGCCACTGGCAGAAAGCTTCCCACCATCCCGCCAATGTTCCTATTCATGAGGTAAAAGGATTCATGCAATATTAGATGTCCTCCCTCACAGCGCCCAGTGCATTTTCTTCCACATTAGACCAGAGGAAATAAGACATTAGTATTCACAACACTGATGTCTGGTGATGAAAACAGTCTAAATTGTTGCTGGCCAGCCTTCAACAGGCTTTATGTTCAACAGGTCCCAGAACAGAGTGAAAGAACTGCACCTGCAGAGCAGCCACTGCCTGACTGATGGTGATTACTGGAGCAGAGGACGGGTCAGACCTCCATGCGCAGACAAGAGGAGCTGAATGTACATGGAAGGCGAATTCCTCCCTAAGTGAGAGATGTCAGATGGGGCAGAATCCAAAGCTGTAATTCTCAGAGCTAGAAAGCAATTTTTAAAAGTGTGACCTCACCCTGACAAAATTAAAGAATAGAACAGGATGTACTGGATTTAGTGAGGGTGGTGTGGCATGGGGCAGCTACTCCCTCTCTCAAATATAAAAAATATGACAGGATCTATAATTAAAGCTAAAATCATTGACTTACATCACAAGAGTCCTAAGGATGAAGGCAGCTAAAGGAGCAATGTTATTTTCAGTGGATTGCTAGATAGCTGCATCCCTCTCCAACTATAACTGGCCCAGAACTGACGTTTCTGAACTATAATAATCCAACCCTCAGAAAAGAGCAAACATCTCTTTACAGCTGACTGATCAACTCATTTTCACATAAACATTTCTCGTTATATCTGGCAGCTGTAGAGGGACTGTCCCCTACAACTTTCCCTATTACATACATACATTTCTGGGCAAATAGTTTCTGAATGCATGAGTATAAGCTGTGGCAATTCCATTTATGCTATTGTTGAAACAGAAACTGATGGTGCATTTGCTGGATAGACTCTGATGAGGAGTGGCATTCATTTCCTAGAAAAGGTTTCTATTTCCAGCAACATCCATATCATGTTTAAAATTGGCTTCAGGACTCAAGTCATGGAGTAGCCAATACAGAACATTACGTTATCCTAGTCCTATTTCTTCCAAAAAGTAGAGGGCAATTGAACATGGTTAAGAAGCAGTGGAGAACCTACCGTCATCTAACATGAAGACGACCCCACTCACATTCTGCCCTCCTTTGAGCACAAGGATTTTCTGTCCAAACCCCTTGATACACAGACCCCCATCCCCCACACAGGCATTCCTCTTAAGCAGCCAATGCAGGAAGCCATGAAAAATGTTATTTCAATATTAAGATCACCAGTTTACAAAGGAAGAGAAACACTTTGCTACTCCAACTGCCTGCATAACATCGTTGACTAATTTTGACCAAGTAATTCCTACACCTAGCACCGTAAAGACAATCAAATTTAGCACAGACTCTGACCCAAGGCCCAGGCAGATTTCATGGTAGTTATGACTTGAAATACCTGACGTGGATTTGGGCTGCCTCTTGAGACCGATTGTGTCCTGTCCTCCCTCCTTCCTCCACACTGAAACAATCAGCTACAGTGTCCTGGAGTCTTTTGTTCTGGAACCCGCTCACCCTTCCCAGACATTAAAGGCATGGGTTAATATCTACATGGAAAAAGTATGTTTTCTGACTTATTGTCTGCTTGGGAGGAAGAACAGCTGTTGACTATCTGAAATTTGGCAATATCTGTGATGTCTTTACAAATGCTCCTAAAACTGGGATAAATTATTACTGGATAAATGTTAATGAATCAACATTATTTACGCCATTTCTGCTGCATCATTGGGACTAAATGATTGAGCAATACTTCTGGACATGAAATACAGGGCTCTGATGGGTACAAGAAATACAAAGGAGACATAGCAGCTCCTGGAACAGACCTGAGCTGTTCAGACCAACCTGCAGACCAGTAGGGCCACCTGTACCATGATGCAACAGCCCTATCCCAGGCCACAGGCTCAGTCACTAGGACCCACCATGCCAGGGAAAGCCTCCCCTTAATCACAGGTGTGATTCTCTGAGCAATTTGTACAAAATTATTTTTATCATAGTCATTTTCAAATGTGTGTAGCTGTTCAAAACAGCTTTTCATTTTAATGCCACTTGAATCTGTGTATTAATTCATACCAGGGAGGCGTATTTATACTGCAGAAAATGTTTAGCATCTCTACACATATGTTACTAAAGGAGGGTAATAACTATGCATAAGAAATTCTGGCATAGATCATAAGACACTGAACAAAACCAAGTTTTATTTGTCCAAATGCAATAACATAGTCACTCAGTAGAGGTAAGGAAGAAGTGTATTGCAGGGTGCTGAGTATAGCTGACCCAGGACAGCCCCTGCAGCACATCCTGAAGTTATAAAAGGCATGTTTCAGGAACGGGAAAATGTAAGACACAGATAAGCTTCAGAATCCTTTAACTGATCCTCTCCCACAACACTTGTCTTCCTACCTTGTCTGAATCACCCTCCATGGCGCCTAAAACACTGGCTGGCAGTGCCTAGGTACGCACACGTGTTTCTTGGCTCTTGGAGCCACTACATGGTAGCAGCACCATTCAGGGACATGGAGATGGCAGACCCTGACACAGTGAAAGGCACAGGACATCCTCCATGTGATCCACCCAGCATTCGCCAGGCCAAATTTCTCTGAGCACTTCTTCCTCAAGTACAGCTACTTCACCAATCTTTCCAGTGCATCTAATGACTCTCACTAGGCTATTGCAAGATTTACTTATTTAATATTTGTAATGCACTACCAAGAGCTTCTAAAGTTATTGTGCAAGTGCAGTGTTTTTTTGTTAGGATTATCCTATTATTTTGCAATGTTTCCTAACGTACTATATTCTCTCTGCCAAGTCATGCTGTGTTTTTTTTTTAAAAAAACCCCAACCAAACAACTTTGTAAAACATTTCTCACAACCACTCCCATTTTAAACATTCTTTTAAACCCTACATTTATAAAACACAGACTTTAAAATGGTTTCAATATGTCTTGGATTCCTATATTCATGTACTACTTGACTAGTTTCCAGAACGCAGTTCTTACAAAAATAAAAGTACAAAAATGCTCCAGGAAATTCAAATCACTCACCATTAGGGAGACCGTTTTCCAATTATTGAAATCCTTCAAACTTTTCATAACCCTTTCCATTCTGAGCTTGAACGTGGAATAAAAAAAAAAAAAAAAAAGATTTTAAAAAACCGTCTGGACTATGTCAAATTTTATACAAATGCGTGAGTGTGGAAGCAATTTTGGTTCTGGGAATTCTATCTGGGATAATTTAGTAACTTTTCAGCTTCCCTGGATACTGTAAAGAGAGATATTCTTGGTCTACTCTAGGAGGAGCTATTTTGAATCACTTTACCAGTAGCTGATGCTTTACCAGCCGAAGGACTAAAAGCCTCTGGGGAGCCGCACCCACATAGAGAGGAGTTAAACTGCCTGAGTAGGTGCTGAAGCCCTCAAGGTTGCAAATAAAAGGTGTAGTTATTTCCAGCATCATCTTTTAGAGGCTCAAAACATTAATCCTATCACCTTGGCCATCTTCCAACACAGCCTTTTCCTGCGTTATTTGCAGTGAATGCTTATGACAGTCAGCAACTGTTTGCCCTAATTAATGAGCTAGAGAATAAATAGTTTTTTGGAATAAACACATCCATATCCTAGTTATAAGCATCTCCTTCAACCAAGGAATGCTAACATCATGATTACATACAGCACTCATGTATATCATAACCATTTCCTTTC